CAGCTACGCACCTGAGGAATGACTTGCAACACTAAAGACCCCAGAGTTGAGAGGTCGAAGAAGAACCCATATGCTTCCTCATCAGTATATTATTTGTCGAAGGATGTGTCGACAAAGCTTGACCTAGTTGCTCGTCGTATGGTTGAGTTCGTCTTCAGTACCCCTGAGGGTAAGGGCTTGGTGGTGCACACTCCTTCAATTAAACTCGCCTGTCTTCATCTGTTTACATTGAAGCAATTAGAGTGGCTCAATATCCAAGTGGTTGAGGCTTATGGTCATTTCTTGAACGACAAAGCACTTGCTGGTGACAAGAACAGAGTTATCTTACCGTTCACTTTTGGTGTAAGTAGGCTCTTCACTCACACCTTACAATATTTAGATATCCAGTAACTAATTAACTATTATTTTCCTTTGCAAAAGGCAACTTGCCATACTTAATTCTCAGACGAATGTGCCCCCGTCTAAGGAGAGACTCGATGGGGTCATTGAAGTGACCCAGCGGGTTCCAGTCTTCAAACGTGTTGTATGGGACAAATTAGAATATGTAAGTCAATCCTTATTCTATCTTGATATTGATTTACGTTTTGTGGATACTAGTCTGGGTTTATTGGATATTTGTCCGAGAGAATAACTAATTTGTTTGAAGATTTGCCTGTGAATATCTGAAATGTTAGTTTTGGATACTAGTCTGGTTTATTGGATATTTATCCGAGAGAATAGCTGATTTGTTTGAAGATTTGCCTGTGAATATCTGAAATGTTAATTTTAGATACTAGTATGGGTTTATTGGATATTTTTCCGAGAGAATATCTGATTTTTTTCTATGTTTCAGATTTTCCCCCTGTGCATGCAAACCATCACTACCGAGTCTACGCTGCTGATCTAAGGAGTCAGAAGACTTTCCTTCTGGACAGCCTAAAACCCAAGCCAGCAGTGGCCAAGGTGGATCACAGTCCCATGGGGAAATTGATATTAGAGTATGGGGTTGCTTTCCTTGCAAAGCACAACATCGATGCTCCCTTGCATGATTGGGAATTCTTAATTGCGGATGTTCCTCAACAAGCTGGAAACGATGACCGTGGAGTGTTCGCATGCATGTTCATGGAGCACTAGGCGGGTCACATTCCATCGGAATACAAGGAAACTTGGCACTTGGCAAAGCACGTGGAGCACCAGCGAGCATCTATTGCAGGCAGTCTCCTTCAATGGAAATACAACAAAGTAAGGAATGTCATACTTGAGGAGGAAAATGAGTGGGCAACATATAAGGAGAAAGGGAAGAGAAGCTGAAACTTACCTCCTTATGTTTCATGGGACATATGTTGATGTTAAGGTATTAAGGTGATTGGGTTATTTTGGGAAGTTTTGGAGAAAAGGAGACACTAACTCTATCCTGATTGCTCGCTTTATTAGTTTAAGGTGATTGTGTTATTTTGGGAACTTTTGGACAAAAGTAGACACTAACTCTGTTGATTAAATTGCTCGCTTTATTAGTTTAAAGTAGATAACACTTAGTGTATCCCTGATTTTTTTATCAAGGATGGATTAAGAATATCTTTCCTTCAACAAAAGTATATCATATGACCCAAAGTGATATCCAAAACACCCAAACTAAAATCTGAGCATATGTGATGGAAATACATAAAATAAAAACAACCACATACATAAAATATATAAAAAATATCCGAATGTTCAGAGATAATATTTGTAGAACCAAAAGACATATCCCTACAACGCATCCTAATATCCTTACAACGTAGAGAAATATCGTAGCCTGCTAAACAAATATCCGTGTTTGACAAACTAATATCCACACCCAAATTCAGTAATGTCGTCTTCCAAGTCAGTGAGATGGTCATCATGTTGAAAATGGGTGTCCTGCGTGAGCACTTCCAATGCTTTCGATCTCTTTCCATAGACAATCTTCTTTCGACGACGCTCTTTCTCTTTCGTGGACTTATAACATTCATTGTCGTGCTTCCTTGGATTACTCTTCTCCTTGAGAGAGAGGCCACTTGTTGGTACAGAATTCCCTACAATGTTAGTGGCTTAAGTAATCCGTCCAATGATATTAACTTATACTAATTTACAAAAAATATTCGATACACTTACCGTTCTCGCTAGTTATAGTCTTTGACAATGCCTTGTTTGCCTCCTTGCACACTTTCTGCAATGCTCTCATCCACCTGTTGTACACTTTCTCATCCGCCATTGACAATTTTGTTGCGAGCTGATTAAACTTTGCAATGGTTTCTCGGTACCTCATTGCTATATCTCATTTTCCCGTCTCGTTCTCATGACTATGTGAAGTATCGCCTGAAGCATCAGCATCACCAACCTCTTTCCTTCTCGCCTCCAACGTCCATCGCTTGAGTATGTAATGATCTGGAATAGTTCTCATTCTATCGTTCCCAAACTCTCCAAGCAATCGCATCACCTTAAGCATATGCCGACATAAGACCCCGAATGTTCTAAACATCCTACACTCGCATACCAATGTGGCCGTAGAAGTATCGACAAGAGTGACATGTTCATCGCTACGCTCACCATCCTCCATCTTATATGTAAGGTAGCTAATGAAGCCATCATCCCTATTATCTGGGACAAGCTCAATTAGATAGTCTTCAATTTCCAGATACTGCTCTTGAATCCGGTTGAAGATGTTTTTCGTGAAGATCTTGGCAGCATGTTGGAGGATCGAGCTTTTCTCCAACACTATGTAAGGGCCTGATTGTTTCCCATCGTAGTCAGACTCAGTCTCTTTGTGCCTTTTGTCAGCCAACAAACTGCATGTATGAAGAAAGCCAAATTGCCCAGACTGATATCCATATACAAACACAGCAAATATCCAAACAACACAAAAATGTATCACACCATCACATACAATACCAGAAAAGCATTTACAAATATCCTTAAGGTGCTAAGTAATATCCATAAATGTCCATCTAGTATTTGGATAACGTACCAGGTAAAGTGGATGAAAAACTCGTCGAGATTATGTTTAGGTTTCAAGAAGAGTCGCACTTGTGCATTGCACGACTCACTGGCTTGCGTTGTCAACATTTGCGCTGTGAATTGATCTCTCAGATATAAGGAAAAACCATTGATGACGAAATTTCTTCAAATATTGCATCCATTGGTGGCCATTGACAGTTTCACTACCGGGAAAACAATCAGAAACCATGCTGCTCCATGCCTCATCGAACTGGGCCTCACTGTCGACGTAGTAGAAAAGATAAGCAAGATGATTTTGGAACTTATGCCAAAATTTCTTGCTCTTACGAAGATTCTTCTTCGCATTCATCAAGATGTGCCTAGTACAATGGGCATGAAACACAATAGGCAACACCTTTCTAAGGGCAGCTGCCATACCGGCGTCCTGATCTGTGAAGATGGTCACTGGGAGAGGTATTTCTTTGAGGAATGGGGACTGGGGGTAGTTGGGAAGAATCGATGGGAATCGATGGGGAAGGAATGGAGACTGGGGGTAGTTGGGTAATTTCCAGCCCTCTTTAACGACGAGTAAACAGAAATTCCAACGGAAGGGCAGGTCCGTTACGATGTAATAGTAGAAGGGCAGCTTTGTGCAAAAAAATAGTACAGGGGCACGTTTGTTACATCGCCATAGTACAGGGGTAGAAAATGCTATTAACCCTATTAAATTTTTAATCACTTGAAGAGTAAAACACAGGGAAGACTGCAATTAGACATTGTATATCTCTGCCTTGCCTAAGAAAATCCTTGATATGGGTCCAATATCTCTCTCCCTCCCTCTTTACTGAAAATGGAGAAGGAAAGAAGTGTGTGGAGGACTATAAATGGAAATTATAGGAGAATCGAATTTGAATGAGAACTGAAATTGACAGGAACAAAACAAGAAAAAAATTAGAGATGGGCAAAAAAGGAAGAAAGGTTGGTCATTGCAGGAAAGAGATTTATAAGGAAGGAGAAAATTTTAGAGTTATTTTAATGTTAAAAATTACAAAATGACACATGTAAAATGCATGATTTTTTAGTCATTAAAATCTTAAATAATTATATAATATATTTTAATGAGAAATAATTGTGATAATAGAGTTGACCATTATCAAACCATTCGACCTGTTAAATCACTTAGCATGATTGATGATTCAATCCAAGTTAACAAATTTTATGACCAGATATAAAATTTATAAGTAAAATTCATACGACATTCGACGAGTATAAAACTAGTTAACTTGAATGAATGATATAATTAAACTCATCCGGCCATGCGAATTAACCATGGCTAGTCTACTTCGCCAATACATGTCCCACCTTGTTTATCACCAGATTGACATTCAGCCTGCTGCTATCTCTGCTCAATCTCCACGGTCTCTGCCTTCGCTTCATACTCGGCTCCCTGCCCAGCTTTCGCATCACTTTCGTATTGCAATGGAAGGGGCCATCTTGGAAACTTCATATGGATCTATTGGTATTGTGGGCTTCCACGAATCTTCTTCAATCTTTGCTTTTGGAAGGTCATTACCATCAATTACCAACACCTACTTGGTTGAGCTGTTGGCGGTCAGTGAGGCTTTATATCTTCTTCTCCAATGAGGGTGGACTACTCGATCGGTCCTGATTACGAGTGACGCACAACATGTTGTCCATCAACTGGTTACTCGTACGATGTTTGATGCTCGGGGGGATCAATTCTCAGAGAGGTTCATAGTTTTTATGTCTTCTACCATTCGTTCATTTCACCTACACTACTCGAGAAGCGAATCAGGCTGCCCATTTTGTGGCACGGAATGTCCTACATTATCCTAGACTTCACTCTAGTCTATACAATTTTATGTATCTTCTTGGTCTTTAAGTCGGTGGAGGTATCTTCTCTTGTGGTACCCCGCTCTTAACTCATCTTATTCGCAAGGATAATTTAGCAAAAAAATAATAATTATATAATTAAAGCCTCATGAGGATCACACATAAATTCAGTAAACTTTAGGGACCAAGGCGTAACTTTGTTCAAATTTCATTTAAAAAGAAATTCAGAAACAGAACGGGAGAAAAGAAAACTGGCAGCTGACTGAATAAAGCGAAGTATCAGTTTCTTATTTTCCTCTTCCAGCTCCGGTTTTCCTCGCCGCGAAATTAAGCGATCGGCCGAAATTCCTCTCCACGCCGACAATCCTGCACGCCGGATTCCGATTCATAAACAGCTTCATCTCTGTTCCAATTCCATCGTGTAATCCCCTCCGGTAAGTCTCTCAGCTAATTCAATTTCCGTTTCCAGTTAAAGCTATCTTGCATTTCGTTTCAGGAAAGTCGGGTAATTGATAATTCTCAGTTGTTGAATTTCCCAATTCTATTGTTTGAAAGAATTTTGCTTCCTTTGATGGGCTTGACTTGAATTGAACGACTCTAATTGGGCAACGGTTTTTTTGTTTGTACAAGTAAATAAATGGCTGGTAGAAACCGCATCCCTCGTGAAGCATACGGCGATCGGCGTGGGTTTCCACCGCCGGAGAGGCATTTCATGCGTGGCCCACCGCATCATCATCGTCCTCCGCCTCCTCACCCTGCTTTACTGGAGGAGGAGCTCGAAATGCAGCATGTTGAGATGCGAAGGCTGTTGGGAGATAATCGAAGGCTGGTTGAAGATAGAATAGCTCTGCAGCAGGAGCTTGGTGCGGCAAAGGAGGAGCTTCATCGTATGAGTATTATTATTAGTGAGATTCGTAGTGATCAGGAGATGCGGTCCAGGGAGCTTATTGAGAAAGAGATGAAGCTGGAAGCTGATCTTCGGGCCACTGAGCCTTTCAAGGCTGAAGCTGTTCAGCTGCGTGCGGAAGTGAAGAAACTTAATAGCGCAAAGCAGGAACTTGCCAGCCAAGTTCAGACTCTGAAGCAGGACCTTACGAGAGTGAAATCTGAGAATCAGCAGATTCCGAATTTCAGGAGCGAGATTGACGGGTTGCATAAGGAGCTTATGCGTGCAAGGTTTGTGTTTTGGGCTGTTGCTGTCTCTTGTTCAACTGCTGTTCTTCAATTTGTAGCGGCATGAATAGCTTTAAAGTACGAATTTTTGTGTGTGCAGAGCTGCTATTGATTATGAGAAGCAGGCGAATATCGAGTTGATGGAGCAGCGACAAGGATTGGAGAAGAATATGATTTCTATGGCACGGGAAGTCGAGAAGCTCCGTGCGGAGCGTGCCACTGCTGATCCACGCTCGTGGGGTTCTGGTATACCCTTAAAATGTAGCTAAATGGAAATACGTTCTTAATTTGAATTGAGTTCATCAATTTAGGGGGGAAACTAGGTTCTCATCCTCCGTTTTTGGTCTTCAATTCTCTTGATGTAAGGTGGACCTTATGGAATGAATTACGGCAACCCAGAGGGCTCCTTACCTGCTTCTTATGGACAAGGATATGCAGCTCATATGGTATGGCGTATCTATATCTTCACCTTTGCTTTTCCCATTGCTTCTGCAGTATAGTGCTTGTTAACTTTTTGCTGTATTTATTTATGTCGTGTTATTGGTTAAAGGATGCCATTGCTACTGACAAAGGCCCTATGTATGGGACTGGCCAAGCTTCACGGGAGAAGCGGCCCCGACGCTAAGATGGTTGCCATTTGATTCTCTGAAAGACCAGGAACACCTTCTTTGGCTATTGTTAGTGAGGCTGCCGGTTGTTTACCAGTGGTATTTTATCTAAATACGTTGTTTGCCACTATCAACTGGTTTATGCATTACTCGAACTGTTACTACTTTGCTTCAGTGATCGTACCATTTTGCATTTTATATCCTAATAATACCATGGTAAAGTGGGAGTTTGTACCTATGCTAAGGCTTAGTCTTCTATAATTTATTATCTCTGTTTCCACTAAGGATTGGCATGCATATCAGTTCTTCTAGAAGCTAATAGCTATAATGTTGTGGATTCATGGCCCTGTGATATGTGAATGGCAATAATTTAGTATAGGATGTAAGATAAGAGGAGGTGGGACTAAGGAGAAAAGCAAGGTTTAGAAACTAGATGACCTTACAACATTGAAATTAGTTTCAACTTTATTTGTTATGTACGATGCTTAAAGTCAGTGTGGGAGAATTCCCAAACTGGAGTTCAACTTACAAGATTGGATCAGTTCGGTGGTGAGGGGTCTGGGGATGTTCATTTTGGTTTGTTGAACTATACTAGATGAATATTATGACAATTCCTTTAGCTTCTAGCACCCATTGTAGTTCTTTAGACGAATTCAAATGCTCATGGACGAAGCTAAGTCAAGGGAGGGAAATGCTGGAGCTACATCAGCTCCTGCATTCCATGTGACACCATAGATTGCAGGTATTAGTGTTCACATCTCTGATGTACGTGACCACTTGTATGTTCCAAAGTGGGAATTAAAGCCAACGAGTTTTTGTTAGCTGCTCGATTTATATAGACTTAGATGCCCTGTCCCTGGTTTAAGGTATCTTAGGTCTCGGGATGTAAAGGAGCTGACTTTTAAAGTATTCTGTCTCCTTCCTTTTAACATAGGCTTTTGGATGTTATATTTGAGGCCAGTTCTAATGCATCAAGTGGTGGAGCCTTGGAGGTGACTCAACGAACCAAAAAATGAGCAGAACTTAACTAGCCCCTATGATTGACTTTTGTGAATAAGCAAACCCACCAGTGGTTTATGGACATGGAAAATGTCCTATAAAACTGGAGGATATGGTAGGAGGTTCAGCCATAATTTGGAATGTTACAATATCCTCTTGGACCAAAGTTTGCACCTTCTGCATACTTTGCCATGGTGGTCTACGACCCTTGGTGCCTCATTCGGTTTGCTCAGTGAACCCATTAAACATCCTGGTCGCATAGCCACGTAGAAGACACTTCTTGCTGTCAAATGACCCACCTACAATTTCTGAAGGCCACTGAGCATGCAATGGGAGGGGAAGCTGTTCGACTAACACTACATAGGCAGGTATTTGTCTGTACATTGGTTTAATGGATGTCGCCCTTTTACTTCCCTGAAGCTAGAATTATGAACTTCTGATGTCAGTATTTATTTCCATTAGAAGTTAGGCTGTTCTTGAGGTGATAGGTGTTGCTCCTTTATCTCGCTTTCTGGAGTTGGCCATTAGTCCTTGAAGGCTATGCTTAGGCTTCTAAATATGAGACGTTAGGTAGTTGAGCCACTAAGAGTTAACACATGTATGACTAATGTCTTCGCTAAGCTTGAAATGGGATGTTTCAAATCATTCATGTAAAGATGGCCCGGTATGTTGAGGTAACTTCCCATTTTGGTAATACACATAGGATTGCGATGCTATGGACTTGACAGCCAGATTTACGTTGCTCCTGAGTGGCAAATGATCAATATGGAGTTGGTAGAAGTACATTCCTCGAGTATTTCAGAATAGTTCTGTAGTTTCTCCACATGTTTAACATGTGATAGCTATAGCAAACTAGCTTCAAGTTGATCTGGAGTAGTGAGTTCCCCATTTGAGGTGCATTGTCATCTTGTCCCCGTAGCTATTTGGATAACTACTTGAAATGACGAGCCCTCAAATAGTGGTGCTTATGGATTGCTTACTACCCTTTTCTCTCTACAGATGATGACAAGGCATCAAGCTTAGTACTGAAGGGTGTAGGCAATAGACAGTTAAGTTGCTGTACATGACCACTTGCTTTAGTTGAAGACAGGCATTTGAATTAGTTAGATAGATATACATTATATGGTTGCGAAGGGTTTCCAACCATGGATTGGTTGTTTAGATAACTCTAGATTGGAGGACGGGGGAGTTAATGTTACGAACCAGTCTCTGATTTAAAACTTCTTTACTTAAGAATTTTGGAATGTAGTATTTACCCTCATTCATCCCAAGATGAATAATCTGTTCCTCGGTTCAGAAGTTGACAATTGCCTACATGATTGGAAAAAAGGAGGAAACTGGCTGTGTTCTATATGGTGCTAATTGCTAGAGAATTTCCATGAGGCTGTAGGTTTGTTAGACATTGCCAGATCTAATTGGGTTGAAAGGGTTGGTATGTAGGACTTCCACAATTATGTAGGATAGGCCTTCTTAAAGGCTTTCTTGGTCGAGGATGACCAGCCTTGGAATGGTTATAAAGGCAGAAATGGTGATTGTGGGAGGCTGTATATAGTGCAAATGAAGTGCACTCTTGTTTGTTTGTAGCTGCATGCTTGTTCGTCTCCATGTTTTATCCACTACCAGTTGTTGAAACTGTTATCACAGCTCTGCTAAAATTGATCATTGCTCAGATGCTTTTTTTGGTTCTTGCTTTACATAGACGAATCAATGCTTTGTTTTCCCCCTTCATTATTAGTTTCGGGATCCCAACTAATCATGTTACTTTATCATTCTGCAGATGAGAATATCCCATCGCCATCGGAGAAGATTTCACGAGTTTCACAGTATCTGCTCAGTGTTGCTTCACCAATGCTATGTCAGCTGCCGTTATGATGTTACGGTAAAGTGGGAAGCACAAAAGGTCAGATGGAATGAGGTAAGCTTCCAAAGGGGAGGGGAGGTGGTTTGTCGCTCTATCAAAAGGAAGAAGAAAACCCTGGCCCTGTTCGTAAGGGCAGGTGTTTCGAGATTACCTAGCTTGCTTTCTCATTGATCAATCCTAGCAATGGTTGGAGCGAAACTTGGATTTGGAACTACCCTGCTCTGCTCGGAAACACATCTCTTCCATGTCTTACCGCTCTGTGTCTCCCCGTAGAAGTTCTTTCACCGTTTCTGGATAGCGATCAAAGAAGTATTGAGGTTTCCATTTCTTTAGCGGGGAAAGACGCACCATCATTCACCGAGACGACTCTGTTTGCCTTCTCTACTGAACAAGATTATTTGCCCAAGTGCTCTCTGCTCCATTCCAGTCAAGAACCAGATCAAGTTGATATCAAACTTGAGTCGGAAAATGAAGAAAAGAGAGGATCTCTAGAATGAATTCAATCCGACTTAACTGAGTCCATTTATTTCTTTGTTTTGGTGGGATAAAACTGATTCAAGCATCGTTAGACTTAACCAAACCTCATCATGCATTAGACTGATTCAAGTATTGTTTCGGTCTGGGTCAATTCAGTGTCGACTGTGAACCTATTCGTAACCCACTGTTGATCATGGTGAGATGCCTCGTGCAACATTTTACAAGAGAGCCAAAGCAAGGGGGAGGGAGAGAGTGCTAAAAGAGATGGAAACATTAATGAATACAATTGTAAACCTATCATCGTGCCGCTTGATTCATCATTATAAACAAATGTGAGCAGGAGATACACTTTGCATTACATGCGACATGCAAAAATTCATCAATGAATAGAATTGGGGGAGTCAGATGCAATGAATCAATGGATGCACAGATGGATCAAATCAGTCCCCAACTCTGCTCCGCCCAGTTAAAGCAGTGCCTCATCCTTCTGCCTCTTTACTCAGCTGCTCTGCTGCTCTTCAATGGCGGATCGAAAGTGCTTGTTTCCAAGCTCCATGAGGGGAGTAGCTAGCTTCTTCACGCGCAGTAGCTAGATTCTTCAGTCATCAACTTGCGTGTTGAAGATAAAACTTGGGAACACAGTTGTGATCTCTCTGCAAACAGTAGTAAAGTAAATAGGTTAGGCTTTTGACAGAAATAGTGACATGAGGTGCCGAACAAAACAGAAGTGCTGGGTACCTCAAGTAAGGAAGAGTCATGTTTTTGAGGAGTGCTGGATTCTTGAGAACGAATTCTTTCCATTCTGTCTTGTTGATCTTCCCATCCATATCAGCATCCGCATCCTCAAATGTCTGATACCGAATCACATTATCATGCGACGAATGGGCAATTGGATGATCTATGTCTGGAAAGGATTATCTACGTATATCTATGCGTAAAACTTACCTTATCAATGATAGCCTCGAGAATGGCCTCGGAGACATGTACTTCAGACTCCAAAAGGAAAGCATTCAGCATTTGCCTGACCTGTAACCAAGAGACGGGGAAAAAGAGTACCACCATGAATCGTCAGTCAATCTACAACATTGATCTTTCAGAAAGGAATTGAAGAGTGTAAACTTGGAACGTGTATGAGAGAAACTCACTTCTTCCCTCTCAATGAATCCAGTTTGTCTCAAATCGTATAACCTGAACGCAACTGCATTATCCCAGGGCAATCTGGTTAGACACAAGAAAGTACCATCATTGTAAAATTAATCACTGTAAACAGAGCTCACAATTGATCTTTTCTTCCACCGAAGCACCAGGATGGAACACGCTGATCGCATGGATGAATTCCTCAAAGTCGATAACACCATTTCTCTTCTCGTCAAAAAGATCGAACACCTGGTTGCCAAAAAAAAAAGACATAATTTCCTGCTGCTACCTTGGAATTAGATCATTAGACAACCACGAACATACGCATTACACATACCCGGTCGAGGAAGAGATTTTTGCCTGCTGGAGTTTTCAATAGCGCCAATTGGAGCTCTTCCTTCAGAATTGTGGAAGAAAAAGATAAAAAGCCAAAGATCAATATGAGTTCATGTTAGGATTTCACAATGATTACCTAACATACTAAATAAAAGTACCCATTCAAAGTTCAAGCCTTTCAATCAAAACCAACTTTAGGTCATAACATAGAGCACAGTAGGACTCCATAGAAGAAATCCACAGGACATGATCTCTGATAGACACATTCCACAGCAGCACATTTACTTACAATTCCTACAAATCTAGAGACAATTCCCACATTCCCAGTAGAAACATTTACTTGCAAATTAACCCCTAAAATTGGATTCATTCACACCTAAAAATCTCTAATCAATGTTGCCCATCAAGCTTGAGACAGAAGTTGAGATACCCACAAAAAAAAGTTGAGATCTTTACCTTGTGGATAAGCCCATCATCAATTATAGAACAGCTGACTTTCTTGAACAATTCGAACAAAGCCTCCACTTCATTGACGGTAACTGCAAAAGGGAGTGTGGGGAAACACAGATAAAATCAATCAGAACCCACCAAAATTCGATTCGATCTGAAGAGCAAATTTACTCAATTTTGGAACAGTACATGGGGAGTTTCTTGAGATTTCGACGAAGTCGGTGAAGGAGTAATCGAACTTCCGATCAGGCTGCCGGCGGAGATCGCCGCAGCAACCGACGAACCCCAAAATCACAGCCTCGCAGATTCCTATCAGAGGGAAAAGAACGGAGCAGAGCTTCTCCCCCAGCGTCAAGTAGCTTGATCTACCGTCCATTCCATATGTGGATAACAGCTAATTTATCCCAGATGCCGGCAGAATCAGACGGAGAGAGATACCCAGGTGGGCCAAAGTTGTTTGCTTTTCTTTGCCGTTTTCAACAGAGACCCACACCCAGATGTGGAAACAGGGCAAAGATCCGAAATTTCCAGATTCTCGGAGAAAGAAAGGAACAACGAACAGAGTGCAAAGAGATGAGCGGAAGGGGGGAAAAAGCTGTTTGCTTTCCCCTTTTCTCCCACCCCGATTCAAAGCGTGGTTTCTGTTTCTCAGCTACCAAACAGAGGGGAAAAGACGAGAGAGACAGAGCGAGATGTGGAACCCGGGAAAAGTGCGGAACTTTTATAACTCGCCGGGGAAGGAGCAGAGTTCGAATAGATAACTGAAACAGAAAGCAGGGAATAATATTAGTTGGATCCACCGCAGCAACCACTCGTGAATTATCGAGAGAGTCGCCACACTAGATAGGGCAAATACTAATAGGAATATATAGAACAGAGGCCGAGTGTTTTTTCAGGTAAAGGTCATGTCTTTCTTTGTCTTCTTGATTTGCCCTTTTCAGCTTTGGTGCAAAATAGTTTTGTGTTTAGATTGATCATAGATTGGAGACACCATTTTGTTGCACGAAGGAATGTGACATGCATATGGGGTCAGATTAGATATAGATAGCAAGTCAACAACCAATGATGATGGAACAATTACTAGTTCGAGGTCTTAGGTGGGAAAGGATGTTTATTCCCCAATGTTGTTTTCAATAGAAAAAAAATCTTTGATTATAAGTTGGGGTAGGCATCCGTTGATTGCATCGAATAGAGATGAGACTCGATAAAAACAAAGGAAAATGAGGACTATAATTAGATTAAAAACATGTTTGGTTTATTTGATTTGATTTGATTCGATTCGATTCAATTTCAATTTTGGTCCATTTTGTCTTCATACATTCATAGGACCAAAATCAAATCAAAATATATTCAATTTGATTCGACTATTGATTCAAGATTATTCAATTAAATGTTACGTCACATTTTAGAGTTTATCTTCCAACTAGTTTTGTTTATAGGCACTCTTTTAACCAGACTAGCTTATTACCCGGCCCGTTGGCCGGATTAGTGTATGTTACCCACTTGTGGAATGAGAGAGAAAGCAAGTGAGAATGAAGGGATTGAGATTCCACTTGATTAGGACCGACCCACTAATCCGATTCTTCCCGACCCGCCCCAACCTAAAGGGTCAGAAAGAGTTAATAAGAAAATACGAACGAAGAGGATTAGTCATATATCTTGACTCTTCAGAAGTGGGTCAAACAGGATCAAGGTTGGGTGAGGGCAATTTTTAGCGCTAAGCAGAGTTCTGGGTTGAATAACTTTACTTAGGCCTAGAAATTGGTGCTGATGAAGATTGCAGTTTTTATTATACCATCATCAATCATCATTGAATTAGTCCTGGGCATCCCTCCCCGTTGTCGGTCTGAATTCTAATGATGGCTTCATTCCTTGCACCAGCCATATCAGCGAGTTGTCATCTCGAGCATGATTTGCCTATGTACAAATGATACAATTAGAGTATGAAACTGAATTCAAAGAAAAGGAAAAGAGAATTCTATCACATGCCAATAAATACACACATAATAGTTGAAGCTAAGTGAAAGTCATTACTCGCACATCAATTCTCAAAAATTACAGACTAAACAATGGCTAGAATGGCACTGAAACTACCAAGAATCATGGACGAAACAACTTGTCAAATTAAATAATCCTTATACTGAAACTACCTTCTAACTTGAAATAAGACATGATCACAGTTCATAGCACTCTTATCACTATGAATTGGTTGCAGCTCGTCCTTATCACTGCCTCCCAAGCTCAATTCAAACAAAATAGAGACCGTTAGGTAAGATAACCATATCCTTACTGATCATAATTCCTTTTTTGTCGGAGAAAAGAGTTATCCCCCTCTCCTGCATTTCCCTTTCCCCCTCTCTTCTCCCTCTTCTTCACAAACCGATCCCTAAACCAGCAACAACAACACAAAAATAGCCTTCGCTTCTGCCATCTCCATCTACTGAACGCGTTGGTGGCAAGACAGGACTGCAGAAGCAAAATTTTCTAAAATCAAACTAAATTGTTTGAAGGAGACTCAACCACGAAAAAAAGAGTAAAGCAACAATGCTAATAGTTCAGATGGTTGGTTTTGATGTTATACGTTGCTTTTGTTATGGTCTCCAGTATATCAACTGCAACAAAGATGTTTCCTCCAATCATCTTTAATGCACGATTTAAAAGTAAGTCCTCTTGTTTGTGTCAAAAGGAAGCATTCATGGGTTCTTAACTCCCCTATTGGTGTAAATGCAGCAGCAACAACAAAGGAGTTTGACAACACAGCAAGCACCCAAGCAAAATGATATAATGCAGTAGGTGATATGTGTCTCGAAGGTTTTGAGTTACTAAAGTTCATGTTAAAAATAAACATGAATTAAAATGGATTATTCTATTAAGCAAACATTCCCTCTAATCATATAAAGATCAGATATCCAATTCACAAACAATTAAGCCATAAAAAATAATCACACATCCACCACCTTTGATTGCCTAAATTTGGTTTTTCGCAAAGTTATGGACTCTTAAGGGTAACGTTCATGGGTAGTCTGTTTCATAACTCTAGAGAGCACAGTAAGCAGCCACCAGCCAGACACAGTGCGGTAGGCGAATATGATTCTCAATTCACAATTTCTCACCACCGGAAGTAAGAACAGACCATAATAAGCGTAGCGTTCATGGGTGGTCTGTTTCATAGCACTACTACACAATTTGTTAAAAAAGAAAGAAAGGTATTTAGCATAACGGCGGAACAACTTTTACAGGCCAACAACGACAACATGCTGCAACCACCAGAACTGGTATCACAACTCATAGGGAAAATCAAAAGATTTACTCTCAAATTAAGTAGTTACAACATCGAGCAATCGTCAAGCACATACACCATCACAAAAGTCACAGAACCTGATTCACAAAGCATTCAAACATTTGAGGACATTTCTGCAAAGGTACAACTTATATGTCTTTTTTCCAAGCCATTTCCATCAACATGCTAATAAATTTGCAATGCATAAAACAAACGGGCCAAAACTTGAAATTCAGCCTGTTTGACCGACCCATGCCAAATTCTAATTAATCTTTACTTTTAAACTTTCTATTTGAAAATAAAAAATAGTGAAGTAAAAGAGACGACTACAATTCGCCATTTGCACATCACTTATTCGGGAATAAAACCATAGAAATTCAAAAGAAACTGAAAATGTTTAGGATCGTTTTAATGTTTAAAATAACCAAATAGATCTTTATGTTTAGTTTTTTACTAACAAATACCAAACGATTCCCTATAAAACACACTATAATTTGATCAATATGATGTCAAATAATTATAAAATATATATTTGAAATGATAAAAATTGGAATAATTGGGTTGGTCAAGGTTGAACCATTGAATAACTTTAAAATACATTATATTTTAGCCACTAAGATATAAAATAATAGCATAATATATATTATGCCAGAGAAAATAGCTTGTTTTAGAATGGCAAACTAATGATGTTCATTTGTTTTACTTGATGGCCAAATCCCATGTAGGTCAGGCCCATTCACCTCTTTTATTTTATGGTTAGCGGTTAGCCCATTAGATACCATACCATGCATTAGTTTATTGTTAAATTTTTATTTTTAACAATAAAAAGGAGTATTATCTTTGCCTTTTCATATATATTTTATCACCACGGAGAAATAAAAGGGTATAAAGAAAAAAATTGACACTCCTAGATCCGTTTAAATCCGCATGTGTACGGTAAGTTGGCCCGTTCCACAGAAGAAAGAGAAAAAATTGGTACTCCCTATTCTACCCTTCCTACAAACGCTCATGGAGCAGGGAATTTGAAATGGGGGAAGAGTTTTTTCCACCCTGATATTATATGTTTTTAATTTAAAAGAATACAACAAATGTACTTAGTGTGATTGGTTATGATCCTTGCCTTTCTTTAAAATGGTCATGGTTCGAATCCCAGTATGTATCTTTTTAATGAATAAAAAAAAGTAAGTGTGAAGACCAAAATGTCCTTCCTACTTTCACTCTCGTTGCAGGAAATTTGAAATGGGGCTCCCGTTTTTCACTTCGGTGTATTATAGTATGTGTAGATTCGATGGTTAGTGGTATGGGGTGGGTCAAAGAGGGATCCTTTTTGTAATAATTTAATGGTTATTTAGTTAAGCATATTAAATCAACTCTATCATCTACACTACTTATAATACATTTTAAAGAGTTTGATTTGCTCCATTTCAAATTTCCTGCAACGTGAGTGAAAGTAGGAAGGTTATTTTCGTCTACACAATCAAATTTTTATTTCATATAAAAATATATAAATGCTAGGATTTGAACCATGGTCTCTTCCATCAAAGACAAGAATTGTAATCAATTAGACATAGAGTACTTTATTAATACAAAACATAGAGGAAGTTAAAATATACAAAACATAGAGTACTTTTGTGGTGTTTGATAATTCTATTTTCATATTTTAATGATTAATTTAGAATTTTTTCTAACTTATAAATGAAGGATAATCTTAAAATCTCAACAGAAATATCATTGGTTGGAATATTGTGCATTGAATTGAAGTGTTCAATGACGACATAAGAACATTGGTACCATACATTTCAAGAAAAATAAACATGACAAACACCAATACCAATTATCTCGACAGTCTATGCTAAAATTTGAATTTGTTTAATCATTCAATTTGAGTGATAGTTTAGTCAAAGCAAGCAAATAAATCACGATTGTGTATGAACAAAAATAAAAACATATGTATTGTATTATGAAAAATGTATTTATTTTAACAATCTAAAAAAACAATCAAGACTTACATATACAACCCCTTATTTCAGCATTGTAATTAATGAAACAATTTTTAACAACATGATGCAATGTTCAAGCTAAGGTCCAATTATTAATCACCAGTATATAGTATTCAGCTTAGTAAACTATTTCAATATCCACAACTAACTATTAATGATTACTTCCTTTCTGTTTGAGGGTTTAATGTAACACTCTCATGCCTACTCTCCAAGCATTTTTTCTTCTTTTTTCTAATATTTTTTGCAGTTATTTGTTAAATCAACTATGTGTCTAGCTTTCCATTCCTAATTATTCACTTCTTCCTACCAACTTATGGGAATTATAAATATTTTTTCATATATAATCTATTGACTATGAATGTTGCTTATTGCTTAAATTCAACGGTATGCATGTTAGGTTTGATGTCTCCAACATGTTTCTCACAATTTCTCGAAAAAGCATCATATCTTGCGATTGATATCATAGTTTTGTTAGGTAAAGTTCAACAAACTCAATCAATATTCGAACTCTTTGAAGTAGCTATCTACATGTGAATATGAAGTACTG